GATAATAATAAAAACTCCAAGATACAGTATAGTCATAATGCTGAAAGTCAAAGACAGAGATAGAATATTGAGAGCAGCAAGATCAAATTAAATAACTCTCATACAAAGGAATACCCATATGAATCACAGTAGATTTCCAGCATTAGAACAGGGATTAGGGTGCTTGCCTTGGATGTGTTCAACCCTGGTTTGATCTCCAGCACCACATATGGTTCCGTGAACACAGCCAGGAATGAATCCTGAGGACAGAGCCAGGAGTAAGCTGGGTGCTCATATCAGATCTATTGAATGAGACTCTACAGGCAGAAGAGAATGACAGGATAGAGTAAAAAAAAAAAAGTCAAGGAACTCCGCAACAAGAATACTCTATCCAGCTAGATTGATCACTTGTTCACTTGGCATCCTGTTACTCATCAATTTGCTTGAGCTCGCACCAGTAACGTCTCCATTCATCCCTGCTGCATGCTAGTGTAGCCCAATGGTGTCTCCTTGCTCCAGGAACATAAAGAGCCTCAAATCAATCGTTTAGGGTCTTGACGAAGTCTGACCATCTCATAGGTGGGCAGCCACACGATCTTTTGACGTCCCATGGAATCCAGTTGGTAACAGCTCTAGTCCAGTGTTCGTCTCCAAATCGCATTACGTGTCCAGCCCATCTGATTTTTGACCACTTGGCAAATGAGACAGTGTCCCTGATTCTTGATTGTCGATGGAGGTTGGAACTCTGGATTCTTTCTCTCACTTGAGTGAAGTGTATTACTCCAAGCATAGCTCTTTCAATTCCTCTCTGGGAGACCTGAATAGCATTCTAATCCTGTTTTCGTAGGGCCCAGGTCTCTGAGGCGTATGTTAATGCAGGAAGAGAAGTGGAATCGAAGAGATGTGCCTGGAGCCAGAGGTTCTTCGTCCTTTTAGCTATTTCTTCGACGTTCTTGAAGGCATTCCAAGCCGCTCTCTTCCTCCTGCACAACTCAGGTGCCAGGTCATTCGTCATGTTGACTTCTCGACCTAGGTGCACATAATTGTTGCATTTGGAGATGTTAGTCCCATTGAGAGTGAATGAATATCAGGAATGCGACCGTTTCACATAAACATTGTCTCTGTGAGATTCAGCTGTAGTCCGATCTTTCCACACTCACGGTCGAAGTCGGCCAGCATTTGTGCCACTTGGCTAATGTTTGGTGTTATTAGAACAATGTCATCAGCAAAGCGGAGGTGGTGTAGTTGCTGACCACCTATCTTCACTCCCATTCCTTTCCATTCCAGTTGTCGCATTATGTTCTTGAGGGTGGCACTGAAGAGTTTCGGTGAAATGGTTATCACCCTGCCGAACCCCTCTCTTGACATGGATGATCACTTCCTTGTAGAATGGTGAGATCCTGGTAGTGAATTCGTAATATAGCTCATGGAGGATCCTGATGTATTGAGTTTGAACGCCCAGTTTGGGTAGGGCTTCAATGACTGCTTCAGTCTCAATAGAATCAAAGGCCTTCTTTAAATCAATGAACGTTAGACAGAGCAGCATCTTGAACTCCCGAGAAACCTCAAAGAGCTTGGTTACCGTGTGGATATGGTCAATCGTGCTGAATCCTTTTCAGAACACTGTTTGCTTGCGTGGTTATCCTTCATCTAGTGTTCTGCCAATCCTATTCAGGATGACTTGAGTGAACGGCTTATAGACGACAGACAACAGGGAGATTGGGGAACAGTTGCCAATGTCGTGGATGTCTCCCTTCTTGTACAGTAGTATAGTCCTGCTGGTTTTCCATTGGGACAGAACCTTACATTCAGACAGGTAGCGTGTGAAGAGCCAAGCCAGTGTATTGATGAGTACTGACGGCAGGTTCTTCAGGTGTTCAGGTCTGACCTTGTCTGGGCCGGGTGCTGTTTGTTTCTTTACCGACTAAATGACATGTCAGATTTCATAAGAGAGAACATTGGGAACGACATATCCATCCTGCAGAATCTGGATTGTGGGCAGGTGGACGTGGCTATAGAAGAGATCTGAGTAGAAGTCATGGATAATCTTCTCCATTGCCCTTCTGGTTGGTTTTTTTTGTTTTTGTTTTTTGCGTCACACCCAGCAATGTGCAGCGGTTACTACTGGCTCTTTACTCAGGAATGATTCCTGGCAGTACTCGGAGGACCATATGGGATGCTGGAAATCGAACCCAGGTCGGCCGTGTGCAAGGCAAATGCCCTACCTGCTGTGCTATCTCTCCATACCACTGCCCTTCTGGAAGATGTGATAGATCCATCAAGATGTCGGAGGGCAGTCATCTTGGTCTCTTAGTTGGCGAAGGACAGGCGGGCTTTGTGAATGCTTTTCCCGGCTTCTGCTGCATCTGCCAGCACTGCTGCTCTTCTCTCTTTGAGGTCTTCCTTGATTGCTTCTCTGCACTGTTTTGCAAGCTCAGACGTTCTCTTGCTGTTGCCTGAGGCTTGCACCAAGCCACGTTGGCGAATGAGCTCGAGAGTTTCAAAGAAAGGCATCTTTTTGTGGCTATCTCTCAGCGTTCCTCACACAATCTCGAGAGTTTCAAAGAAAGGCATCTTTTTGTGGCTATCTCTCAGCGTTCCTCACACAATCATGGAGATGCTGAACCAGTCGATTGTATTCTTCGTCAATGTTGTCAATGACAGCATCTTCCCATGTTGACGCAATAGTGCCAAAGAGCTCCCAGTTTGTAGTCGTTCTAGGAGTTCTCTTCTTAAACTTTGCAGTCCTTTCTCCCCACTCTGTGAAGTAGAATTTTGCATGAAGGAGACGGTGGTCAGATCCCGTTTGGAATTTTTGAACAACAGCGACATCGGTCAGGCAAAACTGTCAATTGAATATGTGGTCAATTTCATTGTGGAACTGTCCACCAGGAGACTCCCATGTCCAAAGTTTAGATTCAGCCTTCTGGAACTGTGAGTTACTATGGATGGTCTTGGTCGACATGATGAACTCAGACAGTCTCTCACCCTGTTCGTTCCATTCTAGGCCATGGGTCCCAATGTGGAGTTCTTCGGCTGATCTTCTCGGTCCTATCTTGGCATTAAAATCACCGACAACAATCTTGTAGAAGGTGTGGTCTTCTTTATAGAACTTCTCCAGCTCCATGTAGAACTTCTCAATTTCTCCTTCATCATAATTGGATGTTGGTGCATAGACAATGAAGATAGAAACTGCTGGCAGTGAGCCACATCTATTCAAGTGTAATCGTCCAATTTGGGTTGCTAGGCATTTGAATGAACCAATGCTCATGGCCAAGTTCTTGTTGACAAGGACTCCAACACCACCTATGCCTCTTTTGTTACATGTTCTGAGGAACAGTCTTTCTCCAGTGTCGAAAATGGCGTGATGTGGTTGATGCCTTCTCATCTTGGTCAGACCAATGATGTTGTACTTGATCTTTCGAGCTAGATTATCATTCAAATTTGAAGGAATAATGTAAGGCTTCATGAACAAGCAACAGTTTAGACAGTTCATGGCCTTGAAACCAGTTTTGCAAGAAGATTTAAAGGTACTTTTGAAAAAAAAAAGGACAAACTTCTCAATATTTCTCCATTAAGTTATTTCATTCAAAATTAATGTCCTTCTAATGTCTATTCAGATGATCTTTTACATCTAAAGAAGTTGTTTCTTTTATTTATTATGCAGATACTTAAGTATCTATCATTCTGCTCTTGTTCCCTAGTGGCCTTCCCAGAGAAGGTCACTTTATTATACTTGTCTTTTGTATCAATCACACTGTCTGAGACCATCAAACAGGCCTATGTCTACATTTGCATTTTTAAAAGAGGCTTCAGGGGCTAGAGCAATAGTACAGTGGTAGGGCAACTTGCCTTGCATGTGGGTGACCTAGGTTTAATTTCTGGCATCCCATTTGGTCCCCTGAGCACCACCAAGAGTAATTCCTGAGTCAGGAGTCAGGAGTAACCCGTGAGAATTGCTGGTTGTGGTCCCCAAACCAAAGTAAATACATAAAAAATCTTCATGATCTGGGGATTTGGCTCAACTGCATGTGCCAAGCCCTGAGTTTGAGGCACCCCAGGCCTGTCCAACTAAGCACCACTGGGTTTAGCCCTGGAGAACTGACTGGAGTGAATAAAAACTCCAGTGGTGTTGAGAATTTTTTAAAATTATTGTTTTGGGCATCATACACAGCAGTGCCCAGGGGTTTCTCCTGGCTCTGTATTCAGGGGTCACTACTGGCAATGTTCAGGGGACCATGTGCAGTGTTAGGGATCAAATCAGGGTCTGTTACATTCAAAACAAGCACCTTTAAACTGTCCCTCCAGACTATTATATCACTTCTCTCTGCAGTACACTCTATAGAATAGAATGAACATTAAAACAATGCTCAACTAAATGACAAATGATAGGGGGAGAAATTGCAGCCAAGGACTAGAGTGATAATACTGTTTTGAATCCCTCCCACCATATATGGTCCCCTGGGTACTTTCAGGGATTATTCCTAAGCAGAGCCAAGAGAGTCTCTGAGCATTGCTAGGATCTAAAGCACACTAAAGGAATTCTTGGGAAAATCTTGGGGGGTAGGGTACATCCTGTGGTGCTCAGCGGTGACTCCTGGTTGTGCTCAGGAGAACATGTGGTCCAAGGAATTGAATCTCAGGCTCCCATATGCAAAGCATATGCTCTGCCTTTTAAGCTATTCCTCAGTTTCCAGGATTTAAAAAATATTTTTTAATTTATGATTTTTACATATGTTCCCTGAACACTACCAGGAGTGATTCCTGAGCACAGAGCCAAGAGTAAGTTCAGAGCATCGCCGACTGTGGCTCCCAAACCAAAACAAAGCAAAAATCCAAAATTATGATTTTACGGAACAATAGTGGAGAGAAGCAGAAACTTCAGTGGACAGTGTGGTGCTGGAATATTTTATGCATGAAACCATACTGTGAATAGCATTGTAAATCATAGTGTTTAAAATAAGATACATTTTAAAAATTATGATTTTTAAATGAATCAATGATCCTCTTTTCCTCTGCAGTACGTCTCTTCGCAGACAACAGACCTTGAAAGTGAAATGTTTAAGGAACTGCTGAAGCACTTTTGCCGCTATGCAGATGAGTTCCGGCAGGTCCTAAAAACTAACATACAGAGGCAGATGTTTGCTGAACTCTTTCTATACTGTGAAAATGGGAAGGTAAGAGAAGATTCTCAGAGTAGTATTTCTCAAATTGTGTCTTGTGAAGGACCCATCTGTAAGTGATGGTTGTTGATAATGGTGATCTGTTAACTTTCCGATATGTTATGAACTAAACATGGATTATGTGTCGGGCAAAGGACATTAGTGTATAACTGTATCACTGTTGTCCTGTTGTTCATCGATTTGTTCGAGCAGGCGGGCACCAGTAATGTCTCCATTTGTTCCCGTCCTGAGATTTTAGCAGCCTCTCCTTACTCATCCTACCCAACACTGCCATATTGGAGGCTCTTTCAGGGTCAGGGGAATGAGGCCTTTTTTTTTTCTTTTTGGGTCACACCTGGAGATGCACAGGTGTTACTCCTGGCTCTGCACTCAGGAATTACTCCTGGCAGTACTCAGGGGACAATATGGGCTTCTGGGAATCAAACCCGGATTGGCCATGTGCAAGGCAAATGCCTTCCCTGCTGTGCTATCACTCCAGCCCGTGAGGCCCATTATTGTTACTGTTTTTGGCATATTGATTATGCCACGGGTAGCTTCCCAGCCTCTGCCGTGTGGGGCAAAGGGCATACAAAATATAATCTAGACTGAGGGACTTTGAGACTTGAAACTACATTTGGATAAAGTTAAGACTTTAATCTTTAAACCACTGTCACTGTCCTCCCGTTGCTCATCGATTTGCTCGAGCAGGCCCAGTAATGTCTCCATTGTGAGACTTGTTGTTACTGTGTTTGGCATATCGAATACGTCATGGGTAGCTTGCCAGGCTTTGCTGTGTGGGCAAAATACTCTTGGTAGCTTTCCGGGCTCTCCGAGAGGGACGGAGAAATTGAACCTGGGCCAACCAGGTCGGCCGCGTGCAAGGCAAACACCCTACCCACTGTGCTATCGCTCCAGTCTGATCTTTAAATAAAATATAAAAATATTTTAATTGTTATAAACTATAAAATAGCAATAGTGCAGCAGGTAGGGCATTTGCCTTGCACACCGCCAACCCAGGTTCAATTCCTCCGTCCCTCTCGGAGAGCCCGGCAAGCTACGAGAGTATTCCACACACATGGCAGAGCCTGGCAAGCTACCATGGTGTTTTTATATGCCAAAATCAGTAACAACAACAATTAACTTGGGAGGGATATCTATCTTCCTTCAAGTCCATCTGTATAAAATTCTTTGACCCAAAACTTCAGACACAAAACTGCAATCAGACTTCATCATGCCCTGGAAGACTAGTCAAATCTCACCTGAGAGATAATTTTAGACACTCCGACAGAATAATAATTTTTTAGTTTGTTTTTGATAATTCATAGTAGAAGAAACCTGCAGAATATGTGTGGGTATTGATTTTATGATGTTTGGATTTATGAGGGTAGTTATAAGCTTGGAGTAGGCCAAAGTTATTAATATTATAATGAGATTAATTTGGACACCTAGATGTGGTTTTATTTGGTGGATTAAATGAAAACTTGATATGTCCTGTTTTAAATGAAATTGAGGGCCAGAGATGTGGCTTACCAGTAGAGCACTGGCAAGTGTGAGGTCCTGGGTTTGATCCTTAGCTCCCCAAAGCACTGTAATACTGTCCTCCCATTGTTCATCAAGGTGCTCGAGTGGGCCCAGTAGTGTCTCTTTTGTGAGACTTTTTATTACTGTGTTTGACAAAGAGCTCCCCATAATACAACAGAAAACTATGAGACTCTAGAACCTTCTTGACATGTCATAGAGGAAGATACCCACCAGTTTCTATTGATTACTGAAAATGATTTCTCCATATCCTGACTATTTTACTAAGTGCTACAATGAACATGAGTGTGCCTATATCTTTTGAATTAATGTTTTCTGTGTTTTTCTTTAATTGTATGGAAAAATAAAGCAAAAACAAATACAGCCAAAAACCCAAGTTTAAAAATACCAAGTTGGGTAGAATTTTTGTAAATCTTAAAAATAAATTAATGTTAACAGAATGTTGAATGGATCTAGCATTCAAAACACAAGTAGACAAGAATTTACTATGTGACAGGTAGCAATATACATCAGTGGGAAGGGACAAATCAATAAGTGATACAGAAGCAAGTGGTTTTTCTTATTGAGAAAAAAACACACAGAATCAGATAGTGACCTCATTAGTGGAGAAAAGTAAGCCTCAATATGATCAGAGACTTAGTCAAAATAAAAGACAAAATCGAAAAGTCTTAGAGCTCCCTTGACTATGGAGTGAGGTAGTTTCAATGTGGTGGGGTGACGGGCAGGAGCCCGGTGGTGACTCAGACCTCACCACCCCAAGCAGCCCCGAGAGTGGCCCGTAAAGACTTTGTTCATCAGCTGAAAAAGTTGCCCTTCAGCTAAAAAAGAGCTGCCCTGAAAACGGAAACCAAATCCAGAGGCCCCACTCTGACCCCAGCCGGCTCCAGGTTATGGTAAAAAAGACCAAGAATGTCTGGAGTGTGGCCCTGGGGTCTGGAGGGACCCTTAACTGTAAAATACTAGAATTAATCTAATGTCCATCACAGAAGGAAGTTTTAAATTTTTTCATATGTAGCAATGGAGGAGAATTTAGTGTTTTCCTTCTCTGTGGCTTCATTCTCTGCAGTTTCCTGTGGTCAGCCAAAATTGCAGCAGTAAGATAGTTTGAAAGACAGAGACAGAGACTGAGAGACAGAGAGGGCACATTCAAACAAGTTTTGCTACAGTATATTGTAGCAATTGTTCTATTTTATTATCAGTAGCACTATCAATCCTTGACTTTACCTAATGTATGTATTCCTAAAAATGGGTAGTGGGCATGGGAGTCATACTGGACTGTCCTGGGCATGGGGATGGTGCTGGAAATTGAACCAGGCCCTCGCAATTGTAAGGCATGTGCTCTGTCACCTGAGGCACATTCTCTGCTCCTACATTTTGAATTATCTTGCCTTTGTTTTGTTGCTGTGGAGTCCGCGAGGTTCACACTCTCCTTGCTCACACTTGATTGCTGAGTTCACCAGGATTGCATACTTATGGGTTGGGACATATCACTGGGTTGGGACATATCACATATCACTTGTCAGGGAAAAATCTCTTGCAAGGTAGGTGCTCTACCACCAAGCCACAATCCTAGGCTCTATAAATTAAATTTTTGTTATAGGTTTGTATAGGAAAAAAACAATGTATTCCTGGGTTTGGATGCCTTGCCCAAACATTGCCAGGAGTTATCCCTGAGCACAGAACCAGGAGTAGCCCCTGAGCACTACTGAGTGTGACCCAAAAACCAACAAAACAAACACGACAAAGAAATTTTTTTTCTCAAAATAAAACAATACTTCCCACAAAAGAATAAGGAGCAGTCCATTGTTTTAATGTCAGATCAGATTAGATAAGAATAGAACATTGTGGGACAGGAGAGATAATACAGGGGGATAAAGTGTTTGCCTTGCACAAAACTGACCCAATTCAAATCCTCAGCACCACCACGCCTGATCCCTGAGCACAGAACGCAAACTAAGCCCTGAGCACCATTTGTGTGTGGGCCCCAAACAAACAAAAAAACAAACAAGAATTGAACACTGCATATTGTATTTAGAAATTAAACTGATAACAATAAACATTTGTTAAATGTCTGCTAAGTGCTAGCCATTAGATAAGTTACAGGTAAGATACAGGTTTTACTTCTGTGCTACTGATTGTAGTGGTGGTAATGATAAAACCTTCAATGGGTAATGCTTCAGCTACTTGCTCGAGCGGGCCCAGTAACGTCTCCATTGGAGACTTTGTTATTACTGTGTCTGGCATATCGAATACTCTCGGTAGCTTGCCGGGCTCTCCAAGAGGGGCGGAAGAATCGAACTCGGGTCAGCCATCTTGGCCGCTTGTAAGGTGAACGCCCTACCCGCTGTGCTATCGCTCCAGCCCTTCAGCTACTTAAAAGTCTGAAATTTCCAACAACTAACCACAGTGTTTTGATTAGGTAGGGTTTTTGAATCGGCAGAAGACATTGGCCTTGCTGGAAATATTCTATGATGAAAGTCCAAAACAAGTTAGAGGCTTACTTCGAAACCCAAGACAATGTAAGTGCTGTTCAGTGGCAGGGGCGGGGGGAACCTTCTAGCATGACTGGGTCAGGCAGCGTTTGTGGAACCACACACAGTGTTGGGAACTGAACCAGTGTTGACCACATGCAAGAAAGCGCTTGTACCTGTACTGTCCCTCTAACTCTTTCTTTGGAATTTTGCATCAGGTGTTAAAACCAGTTGTGGAGGAAAGTAATTGAGAAGTAAATAAAGAAAATAGTGAGGAAAGGAGGGTGAGGAAGGGAGACAAATCCTTATTAGAAAAACACAGCCATTGTAAAGAGTGCTGCAATGAACAAACAAGTGCAGATGTCACTTCAACTATACTTTTTTGCCTCTCTGGGATGTATTCCCAGGAGTGGTATTGCTGGGTCAAATGGGAGCTCAATTTCTAATTTTTTGAGAATCGTCCATACTGTTTTCCAAAAGGGTTGAACCAGTCGGCATTCCCACCAGCTGTGAAGGAGGGTCCCTTTCTCACCACATCCGCACCAGCACTGGTTGCTTTTGTTCTTTTTGATGTGGGCCAGTCTCTGTGGTGTGAAATGATATCTCATTGTTGTTTTGGTCTGCACCTCCCTGTTTGCTCCATGACTTGGAGGCCAGCCACACGTGCTAGGGGAAAAGGGAGCTCAGATAGAGAAGAGAGCACCAAATAAAGGGTGTTGGGAGGATCCTCCCAGGATGGGAGAAGCATGCTGAAAGTAGACTATAGACCAAACATGATTGCCACTCAATGCCTCTCCTGCAAACCATAGCTCCCAAAAGGAGAGAGAGAGAATAAAAGGGAATGCCCTGCCACAGAGGCAGGGTGGGATGGGGGGAATGGGGGTGGGAGGGATACTGGGACCTGTGGTTGTGGAAAATGGGCACTGGTGGAGGGATGGGTACTTGATCATTGTATAACTGAAACCCAAGTACAAAAATTTGTAACTCTATAACTGTACCTCATAGTGTTTCACTAATAAAAAAAAAAAAGAAAAAGAAAAACACAGCCAGGGAAAGACTGCCATAGAGAGAGGCCTGCTTTTATTTTGATACTGTAGATATTAAGGTGGAGGACATGTGTCCTCTTCTTCCTCCTATGCTACACTTAATATGGGGACCAAAAGTAAAGAATAAATTCTATTTGTATTTTATATAATTTAAACAGCTCTCCAAAGTTGCAAAGAAAAATTATACAAAATTTACAAAGCTGTATCTTTTAGGATTGATGATATCTGTGCGTGTATGTGTGTGTGTGTGTGTGTGTGTGTGTGTGTGTGTGTGTGCCAATTCTGGTTGTGCTCAGGGTTTACTCCTGGCTCTGCACTCAGGAATCACTCATGATGGGCTTGAAGAACCATATGGGGTGCAGGAGATTGAACCCGGCTTGGCTGCGTGCAAGGCAAATGCCCTGTTTACTGTACTATTTCTCTAGTCCCTTGGACAGATGATTTCTAATTTACAGTCATAGCCATCTTTTATTTTCCTTTGGAAATGTTTCTTGTTTTATTATGTTGCAGAGAAAAGTAACAGTTAGTCTTTAAATTGATCCACCTAGGAGGTCCAGAAGATGGCCCTTTGCTTCAAGGTCATGAGAGCAAACTATGATGCTGTGTGCAGTTATCTGGGTCAGTCCAAACAGTCCTGCTGTCAGCAAGAAGGGATCTGGAGGCCAGCCACACATGTTAGGGGAAAACGGAGTTCAGATAGAGAAGGGAGCACCAAATAAAGGGTGTTGGGAGGATCCTCTCAGGATGGGAGAAGCATGCTGAAAGTAGACTATAGACCAAACATGATCGCCATTCATTGCCTCTTTTGCAAACCACAACACCCAATAAGAGAGAGAGAACAAAAGGGAATGCCCTGACACTGAGGCAGGGTGGGATGGGGGGATGGGGTGGGAGGGATACTGGGGTCCATGGTGATGGAAAATGGGCACTGGTGGAGGGATGGGTACTTGATCATTGTATAACTGAAACCCAAGTACAAAAATTTATAAGTCTATAACTGTACTTCATGGTGTTTCACTAATAAAAATTTAAAAAAATAAACTTGAATATTAAAATTAACATTGTTTAAGTTTAGAATTAAAAAAGTAATAAGTAAAATAGCAAATTAAAAAAGAAAGGATCTGGAGGATGGCACAGTGTTCATGTGCAGCAATTCTGACCATCCCACAGTATTGAGACCTGGAGATGGGGGAAAAAACAATAGGCATATTTTAAAATCACTGTGATAAGTTTTTAGATGAAGTAAAGTAGAAATTTTTTAAGTAGAATAATTTTTTGTGAATAAAAATAAGTGTTCACGAAAAAAACACCAGTTTCTCCAGAAGGTACATAACCAAGGGTACCCCATAAAGTAAAATAAAGAAATGACATCCCCTGTTGCAATATGAATGTGACACCCAGAATGAGGATGAACAAAGTTTTTGCATTTATGACCTACCGCTGATTGTGCATTATAAGATCAATTATTTAGGCTTTTTTTTGGTTTGTTTTCTGCACAGGGCCATTTGTTGAATTTGAAGAGATAAGCTTGTCTGAGTTCTGGGGAGACACGGATAATCAGAAACACATTTATGAAGACTTTAACGAACTACTCTTAGACATGTTACTTCCTCAAAAACATTATAATGAAAGTAAATTTTCAGACTACTTAGAAGATGAACATAAATATAATGAACTAGAACCAGGCAAGCCAGAACAGCAGGAAGAGACAAGTTTAGAACAAGAACCACATGGAAGTTCAAGGAACCAAAAAGAAAATGGCAGCCAGCCTCTAGAAGAAAACCTGAACGAAAAATCACCAATAAAACTAATTCAAGCACAGTCAGGTTCAGTAACAATACCAAGAATAAAGTCAGCAGCTGTAATCAGAGCACCTCCACAGAGTTCAGCAGAAAAAAGAAGATCCATGCCAGAACCGTACATCTTTAGACAATCAGAAGACAGACCTGCCAGAAAATTAAAAACATCCCCCGAACAAATCGAAGTGTTAACAACAGAACCAGAAACACGCAAAGGGTCAAACACCAAACGAGGATCATTGATAGAACAAGAATCACACACAGAGACTATTCCAGACATGGATTCAAAACAGGACATTGCTCCAGAACAGGACATAGATTCAAATTTGCCATTAAGAAGTATCTCAGGTGAGGATAATAAATGCAAGAAAGCTACTCCCTACAAGACCAACAAAATCCCTTCACAGGAAGTGAGAGCAGATAGGTGAAAAAGAGTTAGATGTGAGTTCTGAGCTCAGGATGTTTCAATCACAAGTACAAACGAGCATCATTCAGGTGATAAGGTAGTTCTAAAGCAAAATCTCTTGCTTTGTGCCATGGCTTTTCAAATCTTAACAAAATAATTATTTCAGTCAAGATCTTCTCTGGCACATCAATTCATGGAAACGTCAGATATATTTGGCTTCTGATCTGAGACTAGACCTTAAACAATCAGTTGATGCAAACAAGGATGCTTCCATTGTCAAATTACCTAGAATTTTGGGCATGGAACTATAGTGCAAGTCCATTTGTAAGAAAGTTATTTAAATGATATAACACATTGAAATATTCATTATTCATTCTGAAAATCCAAAGAAGCCTCTTTACTTTAATGTGGGGGTAGCACAGATCTAGAAGTAGCTCCTGAACACCACAGGATGTGGCCCCAAAACTATAAATTTAAAAAAATAAAAAGTAAATAAATTTATTTGTTTTAAGCTGATATTAAAACCACTGTAAATTTCTTCTATTACTTTAACTTTTTAATTGATCCTGCTTTTATACTTATATATGTACCCCAAAAGTTTCTAAAAGTCATTTATTTATGAAATTAATTATTATAAATATTTATATGAATATATACTTACATGTGTGCTCAAAGCTTACTCCTGTGCTCAAGGCTCACTCTTGGTGCTTGGGGGACTATAGGTGCTGCTGGGATTCAAACCAGGGCTAGCCACAGACAACGCAAGCATTTTAAGTCTTGTATAATGGCTCTGAAAGTCATATTTAAAACAGAAATATACTGTATATCAACTAGTTACTTGGTAGCTGATTTCTTGACTGAATTGTTTGTGCTAATTTATGCCCTTTTATTGAAAAATTCTAACTCTTTTGAAAGCAAATTTTAATTCCATTTAAGATCTCTGTTGCACATAATATTTTCTGAAGTTCTGCTCTAAAGCCCACAGTCCCAACAAAAATTCTTATTTAAAATCTCTCAGAGATGGGTAACCTGTATTCTAGATTTGCTCTATGATTAATTAGTTTGAAATATCTCAATATGTTAGCATTATGTTTATTTCTGTGTAGATTATGGTACTAATTTCAGTTCTTTGTCCATAGAAGGAAAGCTTTAAAAATTATAGAAGTGACTCAGACATTATATTAGTAAGGACTTAATTTTGGCTAGGTACAGCTGTGATCCAAAATGACAATGTCTAAAAAGAAAAAACAAACCATAAACAAAACCAAAACAAAATCTGTTTAAACAAGATAGAGTTTTCTTCTTTATTTCTCAAACAAAATCAAAATGTTTTGTGACCGCTTAGCCCCTTGAAATCCTCTGCGATTCAGCTTTTTTCTTTCTTGTGTCTCCTCCAATCACATGGTCCATGCTGGCTCACCATTAAGTTCACATTCTGAATAGCAGGTAGAGAGAAAGAAGGGAGAACCATATCTCCCTCTCCTCTCTTCCTTTCTTTTCTCCCCTCCCTCCCTTCCCCTTGTACTCCCTTTCCTGCTCACCCTAAAAAAAAAAAAAGGAAGAGCTACCATATTACACTTCCTTTCACAACTCATCAATCAGAATCTTAGACAACTAGGGATCCTCCTCTCTTACAATGATCCTCTTCATTGTAAGAGAGAATCATCTTATTTTACGTGGCCAACAGTACAGAGAACAGAGCTGCTCACAACAGATCTATTGATCAAGTGACTTGATTGGGATTGATTATGACAAAACATCTCTAGGAAGGCATCTGAAGAACTCTTTTGGATATTGCAAACCACAATGCCCAAAAGGTGCGAGGATGGGGGGGGGGAGTAGGGAGGAGAGGGAGGAAAGAGGAGAGAGAGGAGAGAGAGAGAGACAAAAATAAGTGCCTGCGAGAGAGAGAGAGAGAGAGAGAGAGAGAGAGAGAGAAGAAAAGTGCCTGCCATAGGTTGGAGGTGGGGGGTGGGGTGTGATGGGAGGGAACCTAGGAACACTGGTGCTGGGAAATGTACACTGGTGGAAGGATGGGTATTGGAATACTGCATGACTGAAATCCAAACATGAACAGCTTTGTAATGGTCTCTCACACTGATTCAATTAAAAAGTTAAAAAAAAAAAAAGAAGAACATTTTTGGAATTCACAATGCCAGGTATTTATTCATCAGCTATATAATGCATATTGTCCAATTCATAGACATTTTATTTTCTACCTTCTAGAAACTGTAAAAGTAACAAAAGACAAATCCTGTGAACTCAAGTACCCCCAAATAGAAGGAAAGCCATGGACAGGTGACTCCTCATTTAATTATCCTTTCATTTATACTCTGGAACAAACAGTGTGAATGTTAAGTTAAATTGGCAATGTTACAAAGCATGTATTTTATAGGAGAACTGTGGACTTGTAACTGGAAGATGAAGTATGCCAAAGACGAAGAGGAGGAACAGGCAAATTTAATCTACAAAAACTCCAACTTCACAGGTATGTTTTAAGAATAAAACTAACAGGGCTGGAGCAATAGAACAGCGGGTAGGGCATTTGCCTTGCACGTGGCCGACCCGGGTTCGAGTCCCAGCATCCCATATAGTCCCCTGAGCACCGCCAGGGGTACTTCCTGAGTGCAGAACCATAACCCCTGTGCTTTGCCGGGTGTGACCCAAAAAGAAAAAAAAAAGAATAAAACTAACAAAGATAGATGGCAATCTGATTAAGTTACACTGATGTACTCCATGCTAAAGACTGGACTTCTATGACATAACGGAAGGCTGATCTTATTTTGTCCCTAAAATGATGGATATAAATATAAGGTGAATGTTTTTGGCTATAGTACACATATAAGAATGTGCTATTTACAAATACTCTTTTTTAAAGAAATATGCATGACTTAATATAATCACTACTACAACCTCTGTCAAATTTATGATCTTTAACCAAGGGAATAGAATATTAGACACTATAAATCAATAGAAATTATTTCAACTGGGGGTTTTTCCTGTTTTTTTTTGGATGGGGGTTTCAGGAGTGGGCACAAAGCAGTACTTAGGGCTTACTTCTGGCTCTGCACTGAGGAATCCCTCTTGGTAGTACTCAGGGGACCACGTGGGGTGGGGGATTGAACCTGGATCAGTTGTGTACCTTCTGCACTATATCTTCAGCTATTCCTCTTGCAGTTTCATATTCAGACATATAAGACAGGTGAGATCTATATTCCTTTTTAAATGTCTATAGAGAAATATCTAGTGACCATCACTTTCTCTATTTTGGACAGATATGTCAATGTGAAATGTGCACTCTCAACTCTCTCCCCTCTGCAAAAGCCCATGTTCTCATTTGAGTACGTAACTCTCTCATACACACTCTCTCACTCTCTCTCTTTCCTCCATATTTCTCTAAATAAAATTTATTTTACAAAGCATCTAACCAAGACAGAGACTAGATAGTAGCTTTTAACTCTCAGAAAACTATGTATTTAATGATTATTCCAAAAGTCAGCATATTTTACTACAATGCTGTTTTATCATTTACTTTTCAGATGAAGATTTTTTCCTTCTCTGTTACTATTTTTCTCATTCAAGTGTATATGAAATAACAGTCTTTCTACTCATAACATGTGTCCTGAGAGCTAGAGAGATAACTCAATGAGCTAAGTGCATGGTCTGCATGCATGAAGCCCAATTCAATCCCCTGCATGTGGTCCCCTGAGCACCACTGGAAGTGACACACCACTCTCCAGCCCAATACAGAGCCTGAGCACCACCAAGTATAGCCCCCAAACAAACTCATCTAGTCTTAGATTTTCTTAATTTTGATTTTTTTGCTTTATCATGTAAAAATTGTGGAACAAGAGAGATGGTACAGAGATTAAGGTGGTTGCCTTGCATGCAGCTTGTCCCATTTAATCCCCTATACTACATAAAGCCCCTTGGGCATTGCTAGCACCAGGATTGACCCATGAGCATGAAGCCAGGAATCAGCCCTGATCACAGCTTGGTGTGGCCTCAAGTACAAGAATAAAAATCACATGAGTCACTACTTCCCCCTCCTCACCTTCCCCCTCTGGGAGGGGCCGTCCCTGGCAGGACTCCGAGCTTACTCCTAACTCTATGCTCAGAGCTCACTCCTGGTAGTTGTCATGGGAACATATATGGTAGCAGGGATTGAATCCAGGGTCAGTTGTGTGTGAAAGAAACACAGGAGTAATTCCTAAGAGCAGAGTAATTTCTGAGCCCGTCAGGAGAGCAAAGTAACTCCCAAGACTGCCAAAAGTGTTTCCTGAATTTAGGGTCAAGAGTAAGCTCTGGGCACCTCACCATGTGCCCACCACCCACCAATAAATAAGAAAAAGCATATTTTTTCTGGAAGGAAAAAAATAGTATTACAATAAGTATCTAAGTACTTTCCCCTTTAATGTCAGACAGCCTCTCTCTTTACAGTGTATGTTTTCTGCTTGACAGATCTATATCCAATTATCAGAAATATTCAGTCTTATAAGAATATAAAAGGTAGGAGTGCCTTCAATCGAGTTTCTTTGAATTTGCTCCAATTTGTGCAACTCCTGGAGACATTTGTTGGTGAAGATGCTCCCTTGAGTATCAGTGAGAATCTCATCTCCTTCTTTATGTTGAACTATGTTGAAAAAGGAGAAGAGAAGATGAGAGACTTAGAAGAGGTAAGTAATATTACCAATAAAGTATATAAGTTTAGTACTTTTAGTAAATCTCTCAGACTGAGTTGTTTCTAGTATGATTTTTCTTAAAACATTTACCAAAAAAGCTTATCATTTTATTTCAATGTACAAGAACAGCACTGTAGCACTGTTCTTCCGTTGTTCATCAATTTGCTCAAGTGGGCACCAGTAATGTCTCCATTGTGAGACTTGTTGTTACTGTTTTTGGCATATCAAATACACTACAGGGAGCTTGCCAGGCTCTGCTGTACAGGCAGGATACTTCTCGGTAGCTTGCCGGGCTCTCCGAGAGAGACGGAGGAATCGAACCTGGGTCGGCTGTGTGCAAGGCAAACTTTCTACCTGCTTTGTTATCACTCCAGCCCTTTTCAATGAGTAAGGCCATTAAAATTTTATGATAGGGAGGGTGCGGAGAGCTACACCCAGCAGTGTTCAAACGCTATCTCTAGCTTTGTGCCCAGGAGTGACTCCTGGTGGTGCTTGGTGGACCTTTTATAGCACTGCAGGCTAAATCAGGGTCAGTCACAAGTAAGGAAGTGCCTTACCTCCTGTACTTTCTCTCTGGTTGTCCATTAAAATTTTATCTTATTGTCAAATATTTTAAGAACATACACCAGAGAATTCCTTCCCCTAATGATTGCTGCTGCAGGTGATGGATTATTGTACATCTTTTTTCATCCCCAGAAACTTAAAGAGAAAATACTGAGTAGTGAATTTCTGGTTTTGCCAAGACTTGTCTATTCACTGGTTGTCTGCAGTATGAGTGCATTTACAAATGCACAAACCAATTTCTCTCAAATATGTATTTTCACTCCTGTGTAGTGCATGCCTCCTAAAAACTTCTATTTACTTGGTGATAAATAAATGCACACATTTAACTAACTGATGTGTTCTTGTATGAAACATAAAAATTAGGTTCACCAGGAACCTTAAATAATCCCACCAGATTTATGAGTGATCTCAACCTCATTCTGGAGTTGCTAACACTTTGTTTCTTGGATTTCTTTTCCCCTCGTTTAACCAAATGGTACCTTTCTTTTCTGGGAGGGGCAATTAAATGTACCTAACTATCAGTTGTTATTGAATTGATTAATTGTGTTATTTAATTGAATGCAGTAAAAAGGTAAATAGAATCAGTGCCAACTAGGTCAACATTCAATATGAAAAAGAATCTTTGAGCTCAGTAACTGAACATTGTCATTCATCCCCGTAGGCTCACCAAGCAGAGTTCTCAAGGTGTCTGTCCTCTCCTGAGGTGCCAATAATTCAGGGAGAGGAAGGGATTAAAATTCTTAAGCATATGTCTTTTCCTTAGTTAATGAGTTAAAGTCCAATTTTTGGTTTAGAGGTGAAACAAAGAAATGGTAGATTGAATAGTTCATTTTCCCATTAATAGAAAGCTTAGTCCCAAAGTAAAGTTGCTCTGTGTGTGTGTGTGTGTGTGTGTGTGTGTGTGTGTGTGTGTGTGTGTGTGTGTGTATTAAAAGCGCTGCACTTTAGGGGAACTAAATAGAGGACAACCGGAAGCACAATGAATCATGTATGTTTTGTCATCCTCTCATATGCTAGGCTCAACGAAAGAATGCCAGAATCCTACGGGAACTTCTTCTCAAAGCCCTCTTTCAGAAATGGGATAGTGATGCTTCAGGCTTCCTGGATCTGAATGAAGTTGATAAGCTCTTGTATACATACAAAGACGGAATGGAAAAAGAATCTATGAAAAGGGGTAAAATTACAACTTTCTTACCTAAGTTACAATAATACTTGGCTTTAAATTTCTCACTAAAGTGACACACAGTTAAAACACTGGTTGTTTGAGGCCAGAGCAATAGTACAGCAGTTGGGGCTCTTGTCTCACATGCGGTCACCTGGATTTGATCCCCGGCATTCCATATGGTCCCTGAGTCAGCCAGGGGTGATCATTGAGCACAGAGTCAGGAGTAAGTCCTGGCAGCTGGGTATGGCCCCCAAACAAATACACACTGGTTCTTTTAAGGCCATGAGATACTACTTTGTAACCTACTAACATGGCTGTGACATTTTTTTCCTTTTGGTTTATTAGGGCTGGAGCAACAGCACAGCAGGTAGGAAGTTTGCCTTGCACACAGCCAACCCAGGTTCGAATCCTCTGTCCCTCTCAGAGAGCCTGGCAAGCTACCGAGAGTATCCCGCCCACATGGCAGAGCCTGGCAAGCTCCCTGTGGTGTATTCGATATGCCAAAAACAGTAAAAACAAGTCTCACAATGGAGACATTACTGGTGCCACTCAAGCAAATCAATGAACAATGGGAGGACAGTGCTACAGTTCTACAGTTGGTTTATTAAGTTGCAGTTAGCATATAATATTGTGTAAGTTTAAAGTATACTATTTGTTGGTGAGGGAAAGGATGTTGGAACACTGTATGATTGAAACCTAATCATGAACAGTTTTGTAAGGGTCTATCTCACAGTGATTCAATAAAAAAAATCTATAAAAAATAATGTACTATTTGATACAGTAAAATACTGCAAAATGATTATCATAGCAATGTTAGTTAACTCCATCACTCCAGATAATTATCATTTCCTTTTTATGCTGAGAACATACATGGTATGCTGTTAATAACTATCAGGTATCTAATAGAGTATCATTGTTTCTAATCACTATGTTGTACATTGCTTTTGTTGTGCTGGGAATCAAACATAATCAAATATGCAACACAATTGCTCTACTACTGAATAATATCCTTGGCCCCCATACTGCAAATAAGATTCATGGAATTTATCTTTTATATATTTACTTATTTGTTAGTTTATTTTATTGAATCACCATGCGATAGAGCATTACAAAGCTGTTCATGATTGGGTTCAGTCATGCAATGTTCCAACACACATCCCTCCACCAGTGTTCATTTTCTAGCTCCAATGTCCTCAGTTTTCCATCCACCCTCCCCCAACGACCCTCCCCCCCACAGCCTGCACCTTTCTGTCTGTCTCTGTCTGTCTCTGTCTCTCTCCCATTTCAGGCATATAATTTGCAATACAGATACTGAAAGATTATCGTGTATATCTCTTTACCTACTTTCAACACTCAACCCTTGTCCAGAATAATCATTCCAACTATTGTTGTCAGGCTGGACCCTCTTCTGTCTTTTTAAAAAAAATTTAAGTAAAACAGATTTTATTTGGAGGATTTTTGAAGGGGAGAAAGAAGAGAAAGCGGGAGAGAGTGAGTAATGCTCTTAAGAAGAGAGTGCAGGTTTTTCCAAGGGCGGAGAGAACCCCTACACACATTCCAGCATTAGATAGGAAAGTACACATTTCATGAGAGGAGATGTGGATGATACATGTGCTCGGATGTCAGATGTGCTCGGCCATGTGGATGCAAGCAGTACATGGACTCAGGCAGCATATGCACCCCCCCCCTCTATTTTAACTACCCTCTGCTCCACACACACTTGTGGTAATTACCAAGCATTGACCAGTCCTCCTGGCCCTTGTTTTCCCTGGTCTTGGATATTAGTCTCATACTAATTTTCAAGTACAAATAGTATGAAACTATAAATAAATAAATAAATAAATAAAAGGAATTCATCTGTCTTAAAGGTACTTTTTGAACAACATCTCCCTGTTCCCTCACCTCTAGTCCCAGGCAACCACAATTCTACTCTATTTTTATGAGTTTGGCTTTTTAAAAATTGTCCACATGTAAGTGATAAGACAGTACCTAGCTTCCACTTATTTTACATAGTAAAGTAACCCTTAAAGCCATCATATTTGTTTTTTCTCATGTTGAGTAATACTCTATTGAGAATATAAAAAGAAAAAGTGGTGCTATTGTGATGCATATATGTGTGAGATATATATCTCACAAATCCTTCAGTCTTGCATTTATCAGTGGACTCTTTGGTTTTCTCCATATCTTCATTAATTATGAATACTTCATCCATACACATGAAGATACAGATTATTTCCTTGACACAGTGACTTCATTTGCTCTGGACATATACCTTATGGTGGAATTGCTGGGTCACACGGAAGTTCCATTTTTATTTGAGGGTGAAGAGGGTTTGGGCAACCCCTGGGGCCATTCTGGTTCTGTACTCAAGGGTCACACCTGGTGGTGCTCAGGCACTACATGTGGTTCCACGGATGAAACAAGGGTCTGCTGCATGTATAGCAAATAACAAGGGTCTGCTGCATGTATAGCAAACACCTTAACCCATATTCTATCTCTCCTGTCCAATAGTTCTATTTTTTGCATTCTGCAGAACCATTTTAACAGATATGTGAAGTAATATCTCACTTGATTTTTATTTTGAGAGGATAAGAACCTAGAGTCCCCTACAAGCAATGCATGCACTCTTACCATTGAGCTATGTCCCAGTGGTTTTGATTTGCATTTCTCTGATGGTTAGCTGTTAAGTCTCTTTTCATTCAGCTTTTGGTTATTTGCATATTTTCTTTGGAAAAACGTTTCTTCAGTTCCTCTGCCTCCCACTTATTTTCTTTATTCAGGGAGGGAATTTGGCTTACATGGGGATGGGGCTGAGGCTTACTTTTGTCGGTGCTCAAGGGCCCAAATGTACTGGGATCAGACAGGGGTCAACCATATGCAAGACAAGTGCCTCTGCCCATATTTTAAAGACTGATTTTTTTTTTTTTTGCTATTGAGTTGTATGTGTTCCTGCTGTTTTGAATAGCTGCCCCTTATCTGGTAAAACCTATGATTTGCAAATATTTTTGCCGCTTGATGGGTCGCCATTCATTTTACTGATTGTTTCTTTTGTTGTGCAGATACTTTTTGGTTTTGTGTAGTTCCACTTGTTTACTTTTTCTTTTGTTTGCTGTGTAACATGGCTATAATTTTTTTTAACGGAAACCAAAGATGTAGGGAAATTAGAACCTTTGTGCTTTGCTAGCAGGATTGTAGAAAATGTCTGGGCCATCAGGAGTAGAATATGTTGTTGAGTGCTTTGTCTGCACCTTGTGTCTCTGTAAGATTATTCTGGTAAGTCTCACTTGGCATTGAAGATTCAATTACCAAGTTCTGCCATCCCCCCACCCATCTTTCCGAGGGGTCCACATCCAGCAGTGCTCAAGGTTTACTCCTGACTGTGTTCAGGGATCACTCCTGATGGGCTTGGTGGACCATATAGGGTGCCAGAGATTGAACCTGGTTCAGCCTTGTGCAAGGCAAATGCTCTACTCTCTGTATCATCACTCTGGACCCTATTAATTCTTTACTAATTGTCAGTCTCTTCATTAACTGTGTTCTGAAAGCTCTACAGTACAGTATACTACACGACTTGTCTTAGGCTGCATACAAAAAAGAGAACTTAATGAAATTTCAAAAGGCATTATAAATTGGTTTTCATTTACAAGGTGGGTAAATTTCATAACATATTGCTGGCCAGGAGAACTGGGTTCTTGTACCATATCTTTCACTAAATGATCATGTGACGAAGCAAGTTGCTGAACCCCTATACATACAGAGCTCCTTATTTGTAAATGAAGGACTTAAGCCTGACAAAATACAGAACTGAATGAACACAACAAAGACAATGATATAAGACGTTTTCAAGATATGAATGGAGTAGAGCAAGGAGGATAGACAGAGAATATAAAATGAGTTAATCTCAGCAATAAGAAAGAGAAAAGCCATGAGGAGACAGACTCTGCTGCAAGAAGAATGTGTCTTCAAGCAGGGAGAACAAATTATTCTCCCGGAGGGTAGGTATACAAAATGAATCTCTCAGAACACATATTGTTAGCCACCTGTCTGTAGAGATGATTGCTGAGCTGATAGCCACAATGAAGAGGAAAGGCAGATTTAGTTTCCTGAAAAAGGATGAACTTGGGTGGGGATCTGACTGACTCAACAGGATAGAACAAATGCTTGGCATGTATGAGAGCCTGCATTCCATCCCCATGCTGCTCCTCCACCTCTAAGCACTACGGATACACCTGGGTCTCACCCCCACCCCTTCTCCAACTCCCCACCTACCACCTCCAGCACCGTTAAGCCTGAGTACCTCAGCACCTGGCACAAGCATTGAGTCATCAGGCCTGTCCCATTGGGCCAAGTCAACCAGAAGTGGTTTCTGGTCCCTGAGAACTACTGAGTATGGTTCATATATTTCTTTTTTCTGTGTTTTGTTTTAGGGCCATACCTGGCAATGCTCAGGAGTTACTCCTGGTTCTGCACTCAGGAATTACTCCTGGCAGTGCTCGAGGTATGATATGGGATGCCCGGGATCAAACCTGGGCTGACCACAAGTAAGGCAAGTGCCTTATCCACTATATTATGGCTTTAGCCCAAAAACCAAGTTTTCTATATGGAAGACACAACTTGACTCTTTTTGCCCTGTAATTATCCTCTTTCATTCCTTTCTAATACAGCCATTTTTTGAGAAGAAATGAAAAACGAGAGCATATGATCAGTCTACAGTGTTGAATTTAAAGTTTGGGTGGAATAGTTTACTTTTATTTTTTTATTCTTGGGTCACCCAACTGGTACTCAGGAACATCTCCTGACAATTCTCAGTCAAGCAGGCCTGTGATTCAATACAAAAACTGCCTGAACATTGAAATTCTGGGGAATAATCTGGATGACACCACCAGTGGTTGAGAATCTCTGGGGATATACCAGCAATGCTCACAGGACGATGTGGTGCAAGAGATCAAACTGGGGCCAGACACATGCAAGTGTCTTGGCCCTTGTACTCTCTGGTACTGAGGTGGAAT